TTCGAACAAAATGATTTTGTTAAACCATTTTTTTTGTTTTTACCTTATATTTCACATCACCATACATATCTTTTATAATATAAAGCAACGATGTATATTTAATATGAATCAGTTGGGAGACAAACAGTGAAAATGACATATAAACAAGGAAACGTCACCCTGGGATACATGTTACTGCACTCCTGTACTCGTTCCATAATCAAACCACATAATGGTGATAATTATATTAGTCTCACCTCTCCCATTTTATTTTCAGTTCGTTTATCTCCTCGTCCCTACTATCGCTAAGTGAATCGCCAAAGTTTCCGTCAGCTTGATGCTGGATAGCCATTTTAAACACGTTCGTTCTTCTTCAATTACTATATCATTGGGTATAAGGTGATCTAACTGTTCTAGCAATATGCAGATCTCTGTGAAGTTTTATTGGCATCCGGGATTAGAATGATGCAACGAATGGCAATTCCAATCGGAGCTACGTAAACTTTAAAACTCAATCCCATGGCAATGTCACAACACAAACTGAAAATGTTTTCATGTCACCAATTGCGCCCCTGGCACAGTGGTAGGACTGGGAATATTTCTTGAAAGGTGAATGGATTAAAGAAATGTTGATTTTCAATACAAAATCATCGCTAAAATTTCAATACCAAGTTACATTTTTCAAACATCCGTCAATGGGCGCTGACATGTTTGTATCAATTGACATGCGCAGACGCTGAGGGGTTAAATAGCTGCCCTATGCCTCTCGAAATAATCAAAACAAATATGCTAAATTCCCTTTTTCAAATCAGCTAAAAATACTAGTATTATACTATTATAGATTATACAATAGTTTTATACAATAGAAATATTCAAATTAGGGAAGAATTAAGAATGAATGCAATGTTTTCCAGATGTTCGGTATCTCCCAAAGCAGCCATATTAATCATTTTGAAAAGGCTAAGCACCTCCGACGGTTACCAACAACAACAAGCTCAGGCGGGTTACAGATTATCGTGCTCCAAATAGTAACCGGTTTGCAAATTTCAACACCTAAATTTGCAAAATTGTAACCTCCAGTGAGCCTATAGCTTCTTTAGTTTTCCACTTCAGTGCTTGTGTACTAAACCAAAATGGAAGAACCAGCGGAAGGCAAGAAAGAAGAGAAGGAAACTGACATCAGAAGATTACAAACATATCCACTAATCAGGGTAAGTATATTTATGATTCCATTAATTAAAACTACTTTCTTAGACTGAAAATATATTACACAACTGTTTTTTTTTTCTTGGTAAACCTGTCTTCAACCCGCATATATAGTCGTTGTTTTAATTAAAAAACACATCTCAGTTTCGGCGTGGTTGCTTGGGCGAGTAATAGAGGCCCAGTTTAATGATTCAGATTTCTCTACAAACACAACATAGTCGGATAGTGAGGCACCCAGCAGTTCTACTACTTGATTTGATTTGATTTACGAGTGTTCTAGATGCAATATTGATCGTGTTTTAGTTAAAAATTCACGTGTATCGTTGCAACGCCGTCGTAGCTAGTACATGTTTTATTTCTGTCTTAAATCGTTGATGAATATGTACTATTATCACGTGAACGATTCTCTTTTCAGCATTCCGACATGAACGACGAAATGAGGACGGAAGCTATGGAGTTGTGTGTAACAGCCTGTGAAAAATTTGCAAATAACAACGAAGTGAGTAAGCCCAAAAATTTACGAGATTTTACTCAATTTTGACCTCTCAAGATATCTCTTTTTTTTCTAAGCCCTTGGGGCATGGTCGACAATAGAATAATATTAGTGACAATTGAATGATAACAATCCCCACAGGACACGTATTAGAAGAATTATTTTGATTTGATATTTATGATGTAGTTTTTTACATATAAAGATTTACTATATTTGATAAAACATAGCATAAAAATGATTTAATGTTATCTCATGCAAAGAGATAAATACTGTTGGTATTTAAATGTGTTCATATTCCCACACAGACTTGGAATGAATTGTTTGCTTGTGACATTGTCATTTCCAACAGTAATTCAATTAATTACGTAACTAATTGAATATTCACATCTTGTATATAACAATAAAGCATAGATACTAATGGGTGAAATTAATTTAACCTCAATCATAAACATACCGGTTGTGTAGTACAGTACTGTATGTTGCTTGGTCTGTTCATGGAGGTATAAACAGATTACCTCCATGGTCTGTTGGTTTCAAATTCCATTTGGGAAACTGGCATTTATTCTGGTTGCTGAAAATACAAGCTTGGAATAGTATTTCCAGTTCATTTTGTCATTATGATTTGATTTGTTTATCAAGTTCACATGTTTATCTGGGCTAGAACAGAAAAAGAAAGCTGTTCACACTGAAGCCAATGATCTTTCCAGGGTTGTATGTTTGCTTTTGTTTGATCAGACCTTGGATATCATAATGCATTATTACCATAATGCATTATTATACACATAAATGTCACCAGAAAAAAAAACAGGTGATATTGATTATTCTGTGATTATTATTAGTGAGCCTGTCACCACAGAGTATAACACAATTGTTGGGACTTCTGCAGTGTTCATATCCATTATCTTGCAACTGGACTATGTGCCATTCCTGCAAAGTGTCATCAGGATCTAGTCCATTAATTTCTCTGTTCCAAATACCTGTGGTTTACAACATTGTACATGTGTTGCACTTCTTTTCCACATTGCTTCATTCAAGGGCTTCCTTGGATCTACATTTTAGATTGATCAATACTGTTTCATGAGAGTTTTTGGAAATTGGTTCAGCTAGATGTCAATAGATATGATCACATTAAAAAAAATTAAGCCACGGACCAAATTTTTGAGATAAACATGATATGCAGATTACAGAGTTATAATATGAAACTGGATTAGAAAAAACTAAACATAATTAAAAAAAAAAAAATTTGAAAACTGTAAATAATGTGTTGCAAACTATTTTTTTTTTTTAAACTAAAAAAATGGGAACAATAGACCTATTTGTATAGATACAGCAGTTTTAGTAGCTTTCCTTCTGCTAATACATTGCAATTAATATACCGTAACTTGTATTTACTTTGAACCCATCCATGTATATGAAACAGTATTGATCAACTTCAAAGTCAGTGTATGCTGATGCATCAATCGCAAACACTAAACCTCTTACTTTTTTTTTCCATGCAGAATGCCGCCAAAATGATTAAAGAGAGTATGGACAAGAAATTTGGTTCATCCTGGCATGTGATCGTCGGTGAAGGTTTCGGATTTGAAATAACACATGAAGTCAAGAATATTCTTTACATGTTTTTTGGTGGTAATCTTGCAATTATGGTTTGGAAATGTTCATAGATAAAGCACAAAAAACCAACTGCCATTTTGCATCATGTATCTCCAAGTCACACATACCCCAGACTCTTGCTGTATTTTTTTTATTGAATCAGCCCTGTTGTACATATTGCGGTATTTTTTTACATACACTTTCAAATATGTAGTGCATTCGACCAATTAAATTTGTTTTTTTCTGAATGAAAAACTTCAACTTAGAAATAAAAATTGTCTAAAAACAAGAGCTCATTAACATATTATTAAGTTTCATCCTTATGCTATGTTGTTATCTCCAAACATTTATTTAGAGTAAAAAAATAGCTTGTTCCTTAGTGTGAGAAAGGAAAACATTAAAAATACATGTTTTCACATTTTCTTCATCTGGAAGAATTGAAATTACAAAATGTTTTTCCCCACAAACTGAAAAACCGTATTGTGCACATCAAGCCTTTGGCTTGTAGCTATTATCTAAGATAATTTGTACATATGCATCAACTTTTTGTTCAGGTTATATGATTTATGATGTGTGTGTCTACTTTATGAGTCTTATCTTTCTGTATCCAAACATTCTTTTTTAAATCATTAGATAATGTTACCGGTAGTGGTTAATACAGATCTATAATATTATTTTTGCTTTCATTAAACAACTTTTTGTAATTCCGATGTTTTTGCATACAGAAATTAAAGATCATTGTATAATCAAATGATATGAGTCAATCATCTATCAATCCCAGTTGATGGGATTCTGTTATGTTTTAGGTCATGTCTAGATCAGCTGCTACTTCGTGTACCAAGGCAAGAAAGTTAACTAATCACCGGTTGCACATATGTGTTGTTGTGTAGACCCAATGATTAGTAGCTCGGGGTTCAAATCATACCTGGGGGGTTTACCCCTCCCTTGGGTGTGTGCACCACAGACTCGACAGGGAGTCGCTGGCTGATATTTAATTACTTACAGATGTGATTTTTAAACAAACCTTGGATGATCTCTGATCTGCATTCAACCAAGCATGGTTGACTCTGGGATAGCATATTAAATTGCCATTTGATAGAAAGAGATGGCTGAACAGCCCAGTCATGTGGTCTAAAACCATTTATTATCACTGGTAATATTGTATTCATTATTATTTTGTTAAATATTATATTAGCTCTGTTTGAAACGTATGTGGTTACAGAGTTGATGGTGTTTCTATGGTTACACAAGGTATATTTTAATGAATGCTAATATGGTACAGTACATACGATTTTTTTAGCTTATGCTAGTTTGTATTGTTGATATGCTTCTCAATACAGTGCTTGTATTTATATCGCAAATTATACCATGAATTGCCTAATTTTCATTGCTAATAATTTTCACGATTTGAGGATAATATGGTTTTTATAAGGACACTCCCTGTTGTAAAAAAAAACACAGAAATTAAAGCTGTTTACAGTAGTGTTGACTATACAAGTTCTGAACAGACCTTAAACCTTTGACTGTTCCACTGAATAAAATGATGAATTATTTCAACACTTAAAAAAAAACTATTTTTTTTGTGACCAAATCAATACTCAATTTTGTTAATATTACAGATAATAAGAGCAAACATTTTACTTGTATTATCCACTGGAGTAGCATCAAATATTAATAACATGTTCTAATAAGTTAGCTATTAACGCTTCACTTGAAAAAGATGAAAACAAATATTGACATGAATTGAAATCAGTGAAATTGAAATTTATTAATTAAATCTTCTAATATTGACTCCAGTATCCTGCCCCCGTGCCTGGGCCCTAATATTGGTTCTTGGTTCTCTGATTTCTAATTAAACTCATCAGTTTCCTGTATGGTTTGTTTTGTTATTGGTTGGGAATAAAAGCCTCTGTGGTTATGCAGTGCTTGTAGACTCCATAATCTCCCCTGGGCTTTGCTAAGTACAACACTGTCTGCATGCAAAACACAGATGAGTGACTCAATTTGTATTATGTCTATGAAATAAAGTAGTTCGTGACCTCATTACTAATGGCAGTCCTCTTGTATACCTTATATGGAGCGACTAGAAAATCAAGAATCACGTGACCAGAGTATGCATATGTGGCTTAGTTGATTTATATAAATTTATTATTATATTATTTCAGTTTAATTCCCTTTCCAGTAAGATATTGCTGTAATTGTGTTATGCCATCCACTATCTAACATAAGCGTGTTACCACTGTGGTTATATCCTAAAATATAACCCACACCAACCCCGTCCATCCAGGTGTTATTAAAGGACAGTGGTTGTTGCTATGCTTATTAGATATCTGCATTGATAAGCAGTGACGGCAAGAACGAATGCGAAGATTTTAATCAGGTCGCAATGTGCACCAATACTGACTTTTACTTTTTAGAGCCCTTCGAATCCCGGGGGGGGCTACTTTCACATTAAGTGGGTAAGGGTGTGAAGCCCATCTCTCGAAAACCATACTCACTTCTAAACCATTTTTTTTCTATTTATATACCCACTTCTAAACACAAGTGTTTTCAGGAGGAAAAAAACACCCAGCTCACAACTTTCGCAACCAGTGAGCGCATCCGGGCGATGCATTTTATTCAGCCTTTTCCAGTATTTGGCTTTGAATATAAGAAGGATCTGTGAAAAAGTAAATAAATGCTACACATTTCTAAACCAAACAATTGATAAATGGCTACCCACTTCTAAACAAAATAACGTGAAATGACACCCCAGTCGGGCGGCACATACCCGTATTGCAATTTTTAAGGAAGTAGCCCCCCCCCCCCCCCGGGCTTCGAATACGTTCCAACCAACCAAGGCCCGTTTGTGGAGATAAAACTGTGCAAGGTTCTTGATTCATTTGTGATTATTTACTGCGACAACTTACTTATATCCGAATTTTGGATGAAACTATTTTGGACGAAAAAACAATTTCGGACGAAACAGCGTTGGGATGAAACCCCGGGGTACTTCCATAGATTTGAGTATACGGGTGTGCGCCCTTGTTTTGACCCCCATTTTCACAGTCGGGTCGGTCATTTTGACCACCATTTTAAGATTTTCGGCCATTTTAGAAAAAATTAGGCCATTTTTTGGACGAAAAACGCCATCAACCTCGATCAGTGAAAAGAAACAACTGGGTCCAGGGTATGTGTCATAATATTTACGGGTAACTTTTGGTGAAAATCACGGTTCGGGAGACCAGATCCTCAAAAACCCGCCCCTTTACTAGTAAAACAAATTTCTTGAAAACTTCCTTATTAATATATGCTAATTCAAAATCATGCTAAAATGATTTATCATCGCCACATATCACACGGTATATCAACACAGCAGAATACAATGCATTTGATTCCTGAAAATATTAAAAAAAGACCCCATGACCATTGAAAATGTGAAAATAAAATTGGAAATTTAAAGAAATGTTAAATGTCAAATCTGTACTACGTGTGCTTGGAGCAGTGTAGTTTTAGATCAAATCACTCGAATGGGCGCTTAATGGAGAAATGAAATTACAATGGTTGTCAATGTCTTTGTCATTAATAATTATTTGTTTTTGTATTGACATGGATGTGTTACCAGATATCTTTTTGTTACAGATTGGCGGTTGGCTTTGTAGTATACTTGGCTGCACTATTATTACCCGAAAGAGGCTTGCGTCATATATAAAACATATCCGCAGTTTATATTTTGAGGTTATTCGCGGCTGGCTAATAACCTGCGCTATTGCGAAAAACAGTATCTATATTTTCGAGCGTATAGCGGGTCAAAAAAAACACCGGGGTAAAAAAAAAAACGAATCGAATACCGCAGTATATTATCGCAGCTAAACACAACAGGACACTGTAGCTATATACACAGCTGCTCATATGATAATAAGAAATATCGTCGGAGGGCAGCATATTAACAGGATCAGCTGCTGAACTGGAAATCGAGTATAGATTTAAATACTGGACCGTCGGTCTACCTGCGTTGACTGCATGATTGCTTTTATTTCACGGGACTGCACGTTTGGTGATATATACATTACACTTGAATACAGCGAATGACTTGGCATTCAGTAAATATTATACCAGGCAAGTTTATGGTGATTGGAGACCACGCAATGTTAGTTAATGTTGAGGTTTATATTCGTTACACATTATCACTTTTACTCACTTTATATATCCAGAGAGACAGGAAATAGGTGGTCCAATGTTATATCACAGTCCCCTTGTGGTTATATGTACATATATGATAGGTGGTCCAGTTACATATTAACTATATTTTGTCGCTAGAGGGCGCGACTTAAATGGCAGGTTTATTATATTCTCAGGGTGTAAACCGCTAGCACAATGACAAAATACACCCACAATGAGTATATACGCCGAACTAGGCAGATTCCCACTCGTTTTTATTAAAACAACAATTAGTATCTAAATATTAGTGCGGGCCATAAGTGCGGCAAGCTACACTTGTCAATAAACTCAATACAAATTCAAGTTAGTATAGCACAAAAAATCTTATTTGAAGAAAATAAACCTACTACAAAATATAGACCCAAAAAAGTACAATTACAAAATCTGATGTAAGTATAATAGCTAATGAATTTTTAAAAAAAGGATTCAATTTGCAATGGAAAGAACCCGAAGCAGAAGTCGAAACAGCAAAACTTTAGGATTCAAGATAAAACCAACCGAGTTTGGTTTATAATCCAATTACAATGTAATTACATGATTTCAAATATTTAAAGCGTCGTCACCGTAGCGCATCGCGTGATAAAATTCATTTTAATGGTGCTGTACTTCACGTGGTGCCTGCTTCATGAAATAGACCGCAATGCGACGTCCCATTTTGGCGCTGTCGGTAGTCTAACACAATGATAATATCACATTCGTTTGCGGATAGGTTCCCTAATTTGGAATGTATTATTCAGACACAGCATTCCTTGCAAGAAGCCAAATATGTTGGGTCAATGTGTGTCACATTGTCCCTCAGTGGTCGTGTCTACGTTTTTTTATGTATATCGAATAGTTTTAACTTTATGATGACTCGACAAACAAGCCTGAGGATAGAAGCATGTATTCCTTTGAGATATAAGAATGTTTAAAAAATAACAATACGTGGTTTAAGCGAAAATTTATATACATTACATTGCGTATTTTAGTAAACAGTAAACATAGTTTACGTATTACATCACAAGTGTCAACATTTCAACATCTGCAGTATTTCTACAAAGTTACGGTTTTGTTTTAGCATGTCCAGGTCAGCATGACGATCACCTGTTTACATTCATACAAAACAGAATACAGTAAATTCCCTGATCGAGGGCATGTAAAAACCTTTACTAACACTGATCGGAAATATTGACTAGACTATGCATTTTAAATTATACAACGGTATTTAACACAAGTTTGAATGTCTATATTTCCGGTGGGATAAATTAAGCCATCCGCCAACAAAATCCAATCACATTTGGCGTACTAGCATACAAACACTGAGTATTTG